AAATGAAGCCGCAAGAACACGATTTTAACCCTTTCTGGTGAAAATTGTGCCGGTAAATTGTCATTGAAATTTTGTTCTTTTTACTGATCGTTTTCCTGTAATTTATTTTGTTAAATGATAACGTATTTTCGCAACACGCACCTGCAGAGAAAGGTGGGAAAGGGAGAATAGGAAACTGGGAGATGCGGCCTGCAGGCACAGGGGGGAAAGCGGAGGGCGAATCGCGGCATAGAGGAAATTCGGCGGTTCGCAAACCCCTGCGGACCACTGCTATAGGAAACAGCTGGACTGATGAGCGGCTCTCCTCTCTCGTTCTTTCCCTCTCCCTTTTCTCTCTGCTGTGTTCCCTCCGCGAGCGTCTCCAAACCCAATGCTCACGCTCCGCTCTGCGCCGCGCGCCGGTGCCTCTCCTCTCTAGTGTACCCTTTGCCCCATCATCATTGCACCCAGGTTCTCTCTCCTCACTGTACGCAGATCATCCAGGTTCGGTAGCCGGTGCGGACCACGCGTCACAGGGTTTTCTCTCTCCGCCGCGCCACATGCCGCTGTCGGAAGATACTTATTTGCGATCTACTATTCTGTATTCTATATTGCTTCCCACATTCTTAGTCTTAATTTATTAATTGTTTCAAAATATTTTAGGGTGTTCGGCGAACACTGCGAACCTATGGACGCCACGCCACTGTTTATTTTATTCTTTTTAAGGCAAACTGAAACTGCTGAAGCATTGAAACTTTGCTGAAATGATATTCTCATGGAGGCAAATGAATCCTAATTTTTACTAACCTCTATTACCTCCTATTATTTACAGGAATTAAAGTCAAAATGTCATCCTTATTGGCAGCACCCTCTTTTATTGTGCAATTCTACCATAATAAATAAGAAAATGATGAATAATTTTAAAATCGAACTGATGAATATGATGTTTCACTGAAATCTTCACTCTGGTTTTTCTTTTCTTTTCTTTTCTTCCACAGTTGGTTCGTATCATCAGAAATCAGCCAGATGCTGATGCTGGAAAGTCCTCAAGAGGCCGTCGCTCAAAGAATTGTTTGATAATGTAAAGTATTGCTGAAATTTTTATCTGTGGTGTATATCTTAGGCATACCTGCTTTTTAGTCGTGCGGCGAAGCCGTATAGACTCTAGGTTTCGCCGGAGGCTAAAAAGTGTCCACACTTTTAGGCTAAGTCCAAGAGGAGAATTTTCGAGGAACCAAGTAACATATGAGGTATTGATATCGGTGCATTTTGGCCCAATGGAGATGTTACATGTGCGAGGAATTTGCAATTTNGGGGGCGGCGCCCCCTCAGCAGGTAGCTTTTGCTACTTGTTTTAAGCTATTTTCCTTGCTTACTCAGTAATTACGATTGCTTAGTTACTGCGAAAATCATTGTTGTAACTAACCAACAGGTTTTTAATATTGTCCGCATACTGAGAATAAGCATTCTTGGGCATCTGGTTCTTTTTTGCTGAAACTCGAAATATGCCAATAGCAACTAGAATGTATGGGTTACTGAAGAAATCCAGAACTTGACAGAAAGTGTGCTTCTATCCTCAAAAATGTTCCAAGCGGAAATTGTCCTCATAGAAGTCCCAATTAATCAGTCAGTTGTAGCTGAATAATTGATAAGCTTCTCCAACTGTGCCACAAATGATCCTCCGCGTTCAAGATGCTATGAATCAGAAGTCCTGATTTACAAAGAAGGAACACAAGAAAATGGGTGAGCAAGGCCAAAACAAACATTAAAATGCCTGGAAAGTTTTGGGGTGTTATCAATCCCCTTTTCAACGGAGAAACATAAAGAGAATGATAAGAACCTCTGGAGTTACCTTTCCTCTCATTTGTTCACTTTTACTTTTACGTTTTAGTTTCCTGGTTGACACTAGGTATTTCAATTTTGATTTTAGGCTTTTTACCCATTTTCAGTTTCTTCAAGGAACTCGTTTCTTCATCTGTTCCCTACTTGCTCACACCATTGATTCGACGAAATTCTTCAACTGTGAGGTGAACTTGTTCAGTGCCAAGCTGGTCATAATACCAGTTTTTTTGTCGATCTGTGCAGGAGGGAACGTGCTAAGCAGGAAATAATCTTTGCTTCCCCCATTACTCTTGAAGTGAGGCATTTTTTGGCCAATGAACACTCAGCTACTTATAACCTTCTCATAGGAAATGTTTACTCTAAAAACTGATGGAGAATTCTTTATCATGTACAAGTCATGGTGATGGTGAGAAAATGGAAAAACTGTTATTTGAACAGAGATACCTCAGCCAAACTTGACATTTTCTCCAATAAAACGAATTTAATTTGTTTTAATGACTAGGGACAGATGCTTGACTTTTGAAATTTTATTTCCAACTTACTTAACGTTTATTTTGAAATCCTGTTTTTATATTTTTGAAAAGTTTATTATTTTTGTTTTTTGGCGTACATCCTTTTACAGAAGAGTAACTGTATTATTACTTTCGTGAAACGCTCAATTACGATAGTGAAGCTCAAGTGGATGCATTTTCTCAAATATTCCTCTAAAATTGTACAATTTTCTTCCTTAGCTCTCTATTAAACGTTTTTAGGTTCCAAGTAGATTAGATGAGTTCAAACATGAAGTAACTTAAGTACAATTGTCCTTAGTTGTTTTATCAAGTCACAAGTTAACAGTGTATTCCTGTCCAGGAAATTCGTCTTTTTTTGTAGCTTTTTTACATCATTTTTTTTTTTTTTTTTTTGTAATCTTACTTTGATTTGTGTAGTTGAAACCTACCTATTTGAAGGAAAGCTGTAGTTTGGGAAAGATGATTTTTTAAATATCTTATTAGATTTTACATCATGAGCGTGATAATTTTTACACATTTTTATATACTTCAATTTCTGGCAGATTTTTATTTATACTTCTGCTGATAAGTGCAGCTACCATCATTGACTTTATGTTTCTAATTTAGAGGATGATGTATGGAAGTAGAGAAACTATATTTCTGGAATTTTTAGCTTTTCATGAAACTTAATATTCAGTATTTTTACTAGTTTTTATACCTCATGTTTCTTCCCATTTTCATGAGACAATCTACCACCTCATACACCTCTCTTTATCACCTCTGTTATTACTTGTTCCAACAGTTTAGATGAACCTCAAAGGAAACCATGTAAACAGCATTGCAATTTAGTGTTAGTTCTAAACCTTGAATCTTCGAAATTTTGTGTCCGGCACACAGAAAATTGGCTTGCTATTTAATTAACCCTCATGTGAGTCCGGCCATGTGTTGATGTGATGTTGTGCAATTTGATTAATTGGATTTTGGTGGACTTCATTCTTCAGGATTTTCAGTTTATCAGTTTTTCTGTCAGCAGAAAAAGAAAAGGATTTTCCAAATCACCCGTTACGTATCAAGTGAACCAAGTCTATAGTTTGAAAAAGCAACTCGAAAGAGTAAAAATATTAGGATGGCTACGTTTGTAATTTAAACATATTTTTTTGTGAATTACTTTGACTTTTATTATCTCTGTTCCCATCTTATTTCATCATTATCGGTCTCGATTAAGATTACTGCTCTAAATCTAGTCTTTTCCCTGCTATGATTGGATGAATATTTTTGAAAAATAATTGATTGCTCAACGTTTCCAGTGCAAAAATTTTGCCAATCTCTATCTCCTTTACTTTATTGTAAATTTATTTTCAAACACTTAGCTCAAAAAAGCATTTGTGCCCCCTTTTTTATTTAATAACCAAATCGTTGTGTTTTCAACCACTCTTAATACACTTGAAACTTGATTAACCAACTTTTAAATGACAGATGAGCTATTAAAGCCTGAAAATGCCGAGTGATTGAACCAAAGATGTAGTTTCAAATTAACGTAAGGACTCTTTCAAAGAACATGCCGTAAGACTTTCATTTAATCTACTAAGAATCCTCAAATTTTTGTCCTTGCATTCATTTTCCTCTAGAAGGAACAAGGATTGTCAGACAATTGGATAGTACACTTTTTTTTGCTTTGCTCTCAACTTGTGAAAATGGTGCTTTAGTCAGTCAGAACATACCTAACCAATTCAATGGAGAGAATAAATTTCGGACTTTATTTCGGAAAAATATATTAAAAAATTATATGACCTCTGAACTATGTACTTGATGTTAGATCACATTGTAAAGTAAGTAATAAGTGGACAGTACATCACTGCTAAATTGTATTAAATTGAATGAATTTTCAGCTATCAAAATTTTTGTCCAGTCAGCCAAGGAATTGAGGACTAGTTAATCAAGTTTTTTCTGTGCTTTTGTAAAAATTCAAGTCAGCTCAATTCAGATAATTCGGAAAAAATGTTGCCAATAATTTTTTCTTCTATAAATAATTTATTTTTATTTTGGTGCACATACTTTTGCCAATTGGTCTCCAAAATTTCTAGCATGATTGAAGTGCAGTCAGATCATGAACTTTGCTGTTACAGAGAGGCTTTATTTTCTTATTTATTTATTTATTTATTTATTTATTTATTTATTTACTTTTTAGTACATCGAGAAACCTCCTGATGCAGCATAGACAAAGCGTGCCCAGTCTTAGGGAAAAATGTCTTGCAAAATTGCAAATAGATGTAAATGTTTTTTGCTAGTCCATTATCATTAACCATCAAACACATATAATATAGAAATGCCACCGTTCTGTTACACTCCCAAGAAAAATCAACAATTCGACGCATTTGTGCAAATAGAATTTGATCTCCTCAGGGAGATTTGAAGGAGGATTCATTTATTTCAACTATGGGTCAGTGGTGTGGCGTGAATGATCGATTATCGATATTTCCTGATTTGAAGCTATGGTAAAGAATTGATTATTAAGGTGTTCGTTGCGAATACCCTGTTTATCGATCCTTAGCTGTAGGTTTAGATGGCAGATCAATCGACAGATTGCAAAGCACGCCACGCCACGCCATTGATATGGGTTGGATCTAAGTATTTTGGAGTTTGAAGGCTGAGTTAGGAGAAATTTAACACTCAAGCAATTCCACCAATAAAGAATCAAGCAATGAAATGACTTGATTCTGCCTGGAACAGTTTGAAGCTTCTCAAAAAGTTTCCATGTTGACAGACTCAGTTAGTGTAATATCTTCCAAGTGACAGAAGACCTCACCTGGCTCTGGCTTTTAGTGAAGTCTCAAAAGGTTTTTGTGTTCTTTTCTGCACTTATGTCTTTCCTCAAACTTTTCAATGTGGCTAGGCTCTGTTAGCGGATTGGCCCCGTTTGCCTCGGGCATCAGTCGAAATCCCAATTTGATATAAGTGTCTGCAAAGTTTATCGTTCATTTTTCTTAAGTTTTTAGAATGAGTGATGAATTTCTCTTGTTCCTATTTTTTCCATCTCGAAATTCCATCACTGCCAGAAGGTTTCATATGTTGTGTTGTAAGTCATTTTGCTCAGCATGTTGAACTTAAATCCAGAGTTGGAATAAGTCACAAGTCTGCTGACAATACATCATGAAATTATCAGAGGACGAATCACAAACAACAGATGTGCAAGAGCCAACTCAAGTATAAGATAGTGTTAACTATAAATTACCTCCATGAAGTTTGCCAAAGTTAGAAATTTAGTGGTAACTTATTTTCAGTGTAAAAGTTGTCTTTTGGCAACATCTATGGATGTACACAAAGTATCTATTCAATGTACTTGTATTTTGAATCATAGAAATTATTTTACATTCAAGGTCATAAAAAAACCCTCTTTTTTCATGGGATAGGTAAATTAATGACTTCTTTGTGATTAATAGCCTCTTCCCCTGATGTTTTCATACATCATCGTAATTTTCAGTCCTTTTTCTTCAGTGCCGTTCTGAAATTGAAGTGTTCCACTAAAACAGCAACTGAATTCTTAAGCTAATCTTAAACACCTGTTGACACAAAAATTGATTTGCCAATTTACAACTGAAAATGTCAGAAAGACCAAAGATTCTGTATTGTAACAAGCACTTAAGTAGCAAAGTTTAAGAAAATCTCTGTACCTCAATTATCAATATGATCATTTTTCTTACTTTTAACCCGTAAAACCTCTGAAATTAGGTTCCCACGATTTTGTTCCTCATGAAATTCAGCATTGTGAAATTGCTCTTTAGTTCATCAAACTAAACTTCTTTGTAGTTGCTGTTTCCCTAGGTCCTCGAATTTGCCAAAATAGAAAATTAATAATTGTAGCTTGTAACAGAATACATAGGTAATGTGTTAGCAAACTAGTCCTAATCTAGTCAAATCAGTATGTTCCTTATTTTTCGTCTTTTCCCTTTTGTTATCTCTGTAAATACTGTGTGTACAGAATCAACTGACGTATGGAAAAATAAACTGAAAATTGATAAAAAAAAAAAAAAAAGTCCGCGCATTCTTCATTTAAGATGGATTTTCCACAAAGAGAATTGAATTGTTGGGTGCAGAAAGGGCATTTTTTCATTACGGTGTTTCAAAGTCTCTGCTAACGTCTCATCCATTATGAAAAAGTGAAAGTATGTAATTCCTTGCGACTTTGACTGAATATTCTTTTTGATATTACAATGCTTTAAATGTGAAATTTCAGAAAAGGAATCCAATTGTTTTTTCTTTTAAATATAATGCAGCACTGGAGATTTGGTAACACCACAAGTGAAAAATGGCCTTCTTGCACTCAATGCCTCAATTATGGACCACTATAAAATAGTGTGAATTCAAGCTTTACGATATATGATTTCTGGCCAAAATTTTGTCTAGTACACGATTTGTACAACTTAAATTACTTTAAGTGACATTAAATATAGGTATTAACGTTTTTTGGATACATAAATTCAAACTTTCCCTTCATGCGGAAAACAAAAATCCACTTGAGGTGAATCGCACACTGAATGTCAGTCTCCGTAGTATGAAAATATGACAGCAGTCTCAATTCTGGCTCTTCAGCTCAACTGTAGCACTTTGTTTACGATTTGAACAACACTGAATGAGAAGAACGTGCAATAGCTGTACTAAAGAGCTGAGATTGAGGTTTTCATGTTTTGATACCGCTATGACTATGTGATAACGTTAATTGCAAGCTTCCTCACTCGTATACCATTGTCTCTCCATGAGAGAAACGTTTGAATTTACATGTCAAGAAATGTGAAATATCTTATTTAGGTGTTAGTTTCAATAATTTTGCTGCGCGAATCAGGGTTCTACGTGAAATTTTGGTTAGAAGACATGTATTAGAATGCTTAAAGTCGTACCTAGTCCACTGACCCACTTTGACCCCAAAATTTAATGCGTTCTTGGTTGTAGGTTTCACAGCACTTGAAAAAAACACAGATAGATTTGAGATTTGTTTTGCTGTTTTACATCAAAAGATTTGTGTTCGCATTCCCCATGAATGCCCCATGAACCCCCCAACAGTATGCCTTGTTGATGACTCGATTAATTCCAGATTATTCTAGTTCCGTAGATGAAAGCATGCCAAGGGTTGAGGTGAATTTCAGAAAATGAAGCACTGTATTGTTTTTTAAACAAGATTGATCTATTTAAATAATAGAACTATACAAGGGGAAATAAAATAAAAGAAAAATATAGTATTCAATATCTATAAACAATGAGACTATGTATTCATTCATTCATTAGGATAAAATTAAATAGATAGAAATTAAATTAATTAATGCATCAAAAGATAAAAAGTAAAGAAACAAAGGAAGAGAGTCCCATTAAGAAATGGGAAATTTTACAATATAACAATAAAAACAAATGAAAAATAACATGATAAGTGATAATGTTAAACTTGTTAAAAAATATAAATACACAAATAAATAATCAAATAAAATTGCAGGGATGAAGAAATACCAACACCTCCATACTTGAAATAGAGTGGATAATTAGTAAATATTCTTTCACTTTTATGACCCAAAGAAATGCACAGGTCAAAATAAATATCATCAAATCATAACGATAAGTTTGAGGATTTTTCCAGTTCAATATGAGTAAGATTATTAAAAAGTTGCGATAAAAGAACATAAGACTTAGATCCCACTGTATGTGAACCTACATGGAAAAATATAGGTCTGAAAAGGGGTAGGGTATGGAGGGGATGAAAAAGAAATAAGTATGATACCTATTATATAATATTAATATTTTTAGTACTAAAAATGATCATGAATTCATGAAGATAGGTGAAAGTTAATGCTGGTATATTTGATGACAATAGCTGAATTGTAGTTTGATTAAATTTACACTAAGAATATTATTTTAAAATCTTTATGAATAATAGCATTAACTAGAGACAACCCCCTGAAAAGAATATAAAATTGAAATTAATTACAGAGGCTATTGATAATTCACAAGTAATGGTAGTAATTTTAGTTATCATTTTCAAGATTTTATCCCTTAAAAACAACATAATAAATTTCAACTAGCTTTTAAAAAATTCATCAACTACGACTTAAAATTACTCTATGGATACATATCTCACAAATGCTTACAATAATGTTTCAATTCAATTACTTACTCCTCCGATAAATTGACTCGTCAATCAATTACAAATTACAATTTATGCTAATTAAACGTTCTATAATTCATTTTATCATTATTCTTAATTTTTTTCACTTATAAATTACACATCATGCAGTAGTGGGTTATTAAGTAAATCATATTATTCTTCTAATAAGATAGTTTTGTACTCTCAGTAGAAACAGTAAATTTCTCAGTTCTTTAAAGCATGATTATGCAATGGTAAGTAATGCTATGTGAAAAATAAACGTTTGATTCCTTTTCCTCACTCACTATGATTTTATACCGATCATTGAAGAATTCTTCACTTAATTATCGCATTGTTCACGATTTGATGTAATCAAATTATTCTCATTTTATAAACAATTCTCAGCTGCACTAATGCGAGTAGTGCTGTCAAAACTAATACAATTTTTAACCGACTGTGTATCACTGCTTTCATGGATGGCAGTACTGATTTTAAGTTAAAACCTGACACCACAATAATGCTTTTCATTTTTCACATTAAACAGTGCTTTAGATTAAAATGTACAAAACTTCAAGTTTCACTTAGATCACTTAATTTGATTTAAGCTAAAGTCATAAACAATAGGCCTATTTACAGGGATTTACAAAATTATTTGAATTCCTAATAATTTGCACAAAAAATCAACACAACAGTTGTCTTAAATGCACGTAAGACTACATTAACAGCGAGAGTGGTTTCCTTTCTTTTTTCTTTTAGGATAAAATCAAGTTGCTAACAAAACAAAAATAAAATAATATCACTGATACAGAGAATTCTGCTTAAAGCAAGACACGTAACTTACAGAGGAAAGCCTGCTTTTCTCAAAACGAACAAAGATTGTAAACTAGGAAAATCCCTGATCAAACAACAGTTATAATGATATTCAGTACTACTGAAATACAACATCAGCTACAAAGTACAAAATAAACATTCAGTGCTTGGGATCTGACTGTCTAGATAAGAGGAGATTTCGACGATTCAACATGGAAAAATTTAATGAGACAAGTGGTGGCTGTAGGTAAAATCTGAATGTTTTTGAAGTAAATATGTAAGCTATTAATTATAATATTTCCACTTTACAGTTGAATTCGTTCTATTCTCTTCATTTTTTCAGATAAGGCAACTGGTAATAAGTTTAAAGAAAAGGACAGCTTTTCCTCTTGCCGAAAAAAGAGTACTAATATAATTCTAGCCTAAAAATTAGATGAAATTGAGTACAAGGAAGGTTTAAATGACAGTTTGAGTATTAAATTATTTCACATTCCTCTTTTAAATTTAAAAGCGCTCAAATGCCAACTACGCAATGTCACCACCTGGTACTTCTTTGAATTTTTCTTTCATTTCTGCCCCACGTGCGAAAAATACTATGTAAGGTAGTCAAGATTGTGAAGGTCATGTGCGAAACTCTCAGGGACCATTAAGGAACTTGGTCTCTACAAATTTTCTTGACAGTATGAATTCATCAATGTTATCCAATAATTGTTTACCACATGTTCCTTCAGGGATTTTTTCTTCTTTCCCTTTTAGTTCACATCTTCATTACAAAAATATTACCAAAGCTGTGTCAGTTGAGAGCTTCTGAAATGTGAAAGCGGGCAGTGCTAATCTACTTACTCTGGTAAAGCCTTCAAGTATAAATCTGATCTGTTCCTTTTCCACTGTGTATTTTCATACTAATACTCCAACGCAGCTGATAGAAATGGTGAAAAAAATCATGACCTCGATAATTATTACATGTTATCATTTCAAAACCAATGCTCTAACAAATGTAAGAAGGTAAAAACAGCTATTACATTACAGGCTGAAGGCTGAATAACCCTTGAAAATTAGTAAAATTTCAAAACTGAAGACAAGAAGCTCATTTTGCAACGAGAGCTTTCCTGTTCAGGGGGCTTTCATGTTCAATGTCAACTAAGAGTATGTTGAAAACTGATAAATTACTACCCAGAGTCTTTTGATTGGCGTACGAAAAACGAAAATTGTTTAGTTTTAATGCATCAAGCAAATGAGGCTAACAGACATTTAAACTAAACATTGAGTCGTCTTGACACCTTAAATCAGAAGAGATAGATAAAAAAGAGGGGAGAAAAGGATGGCAATGATAATGACAATGAAATGAAATACACCTGACTGCAAAGGTACAAAAATATCTACTTCTCAAAGAAGAGTATCAAAATCTATCTATGGGTAATTTTGAAAGTTAATTGAGAGATTTAGAATATACATTTCTGTAAGGTTAGAATTAAACTTAATGAATGAGCAACCTGAGCTCGCACAATTTTAAGTTGCAAGGACTAAATCGGATGAACGAAGAACTATGAAGATGCATAAAATATTACTTCATCCCTTAACTTTCTTCAAGTAGAGGAAGTTCAATAAGGCAACTTTCCCCTAACCAAGCTTTTCAGCTGGGTCTCTCATAATGTTAAAAACCCTTATTTTCTTGACTGATACTCGAATACAACACAAAGGCCTGCTGACTGACTTCGTCATAAGCTGGCCAAATTGGAGCTGCAAACTTATAGAACTCTTGAGAAACACCCATCAGTTTATGACACTCTTTGATTCCTGTAAGAACTCCAAAATACTGACTCTCAAAAAATCATCTCCTACCAAATTGCAAGGCAAGTGAAACTAATTTCCTGGAGATAAAATTTTTTGGTGAATGAGCTTGGAATTGGGGAAAAAAAAGGATCTCACATTCAGTAATACTAAGATACTTCCGACAACATTCTTCATCTAACTCAGTTCTGCAAACATCATTCATACGATATAGATAAAACATTCTTGGGTTTCCAGGAACTCCTGCTAAAATTATTTAAAGTAGCACAACAATTATAAGCCATAACTTATAGTAGCTTTCTCAAAATAATTTAAGGCAATGAAGAGCAAAAATGATGGGGCTTGGATTGAATTCCTAACATAAAATCTTGATGAGATCCCTACTAATTGCTACAGGTTCTTATCAAGTTTCATGTAAAAAGTAGCTTCAAGTTAGGGCTAAACTTCAAAAAATTTGTACAATCCTGACTACGGGATTCTTAGATTAGCTACACCCTCTTCAGACAGCAGAAAAATAAAATTTTAGAAATTTCAAGGACCAACAGCAATTACACATCAGTCGACTCTTAATTTTAGATAAATTTGATCCCACAGTTGCAAATAAGCTTCCATATACAGCGAGATTACCAAAGATTACTTTGTCAACTTAAAAATGCTTTGAGCAAAGAGTGAAATGGTTAGCTGAGGATTCCCAGATTTTCCCGAAGGAGCGTTTGCCTAATTATAGACAGTCAAAGGTTATGTGCAGAAGAGAATTTGAATATGGTTTGAGGAAACCATAAAGTCAACTGAAATAGATTATCGTACATGCAGGATGATAAAAGAATAGGTAAGAATCTTGCAGAAGTAAACATTTTCTCATTGTGTCTCTTCTGAACAAGAGGAGAAGCTAAAATGAATGAATCTCTTCCCACAGGGTACTTTGAGACAGTGACAAGTTTTAAAATTATGCTAAAATACGAGCAAAATTGCACAGATTAGAGCGAAACACATTGCACAGGATACTCAATCAGGAGGAAATTGCTTCCATGTTGCTCAGTCAATAGATTGAAAAAAAAGAGACAAAAAAATATTGATACAAAATTTTCTAAAATTTGAAAGTATGGAGTGCAGAGATTTCAAGGTTTCATTGATTTTTACGCGATTCTCAAAAGCTGCATTTATGTCAAATTTTCTGGGCTCTGACAGAAGCACAAGCAAAAATTAGAGAGGGAAAATGTAAACTGCTGCTTTGAAAAAAGGGTTACTGAACAGACAATGAAATATGAAGAGGGACTTGCAACTTCTAATGGCAATCTCTTCTTTAGTGAAATTACTACATATGAAATAAAAAAATAAGAGATACGAGAGAAATATTCCAGAACAGGGCAAATATTTCACTCTAAAGCTGTTGTTTTCTTTCATCTTTAAAGTATGTAGCAGAGCTCTGTTCCAAGAAAAAGAAAACTGAGTCTACCCAAAAATAAGTTCATTTTTGCAGCAGTGGCTAAAAGCACTAAAATTGTACATTTGTCTTTAGGACGACTCTGCACTTTATCAAAAGGTCCAAGTGAGCAAACGACATTTCAAGGGAAGCTGAGAGAGTGTACATTTTCACACTGACTTCATTCCACTGTTTACTTCTTAGCAGCAGAAATTTGCAACAGTTCTACAAAGAGGCTGTCAATTTTGAATCGGATTAAAATTTACATTAATTAGACTTAATATTAAGTACTTGAAAGAGATAACAAGAAAAAGGTGGAGAAACAAAAAAAAAACAGGCCCCTGACTCTCACAAAAGTCTATATGTTCCTGAAGATGACTGAATGAAAAATAAGGTCCTCACTAGGTGAGTAAAATTCCATTTTACCGATTGAAAGACATGTTTCATTATGAAGAACTTTTCAATAAAAAGGGTCATTTAGTGCCCCTTTCAGAGAGAACTTTGAGATTTCTTTCAAATGTGGCCTAAACAAAACCTCATGATAAGAAATCCTCCAGTGAAAGTTTCAGGTTGATTCGAGGCTTGTTTTGGCAATACAGTGATGCAAAGTGTACGCTCGTTACCACAAGAAAATGCTTACATTTTGGAGCTCTTTGGTTGAAAAAACAACTTCAGTTAATCTTCTTTTATTTTCTGAGGAACAGTATATCAACTGATCATAATGTGCCTCAGAAAATGAAATGGTATCAACTGAGTGTGGTTTATTTTTCAACCGAGGAACTTCATGTTCGCATTTATGGTAAAAATAGTGAACCTTGCAACCCTGTATTGCCAAAATGACCTTTGAACTCAAGCTTAAACTATCACTGGAGGATTGTCTCATCAGTAGGTTTTGTTTAGGCCACATTCTAATGAAATCCCTAAAATTTCCCCAAAAACAGGCGCTTTTTTGACAGATTTTTTTCATTGGATTTATTACGCAAAATCAATATTATGATAATTTTGTAAGTAACAGAACACTGGAGAATTTGTCCTACAATTCGGCAAAACGAGAGACCAAGAATAGAGAATTTCCCTTTTTTTTTGTTGCGAGGTTTGAGAATAGAAGTACCTTTTACAGCTCTTTCTTAGATAGTAAAGCGGTGTACAAGATGAAAAGTTGAAATAACAAAATGAATCAACAAGTTGTTATGAAAGATGCATTATTAGACAGATAATTTGAGTAACTAACATGTATTCTACAAATATGACAGAAACAGTATCTCCTGGTCTTGTCAGCAGCAATTTTTAACGATAGTCCACTGACAAAAATAAGCTGAGATTCAAAGTCATTACTGTTAAGATGAAGATAGAAGGAAATTTTAACATCCATAAGCTAGGACATAGGTATGTCTGTCTGAAATTTACTTATCACAAGCTTAAGACCTACTTATCGTTGGATTCTTTCTTTCTTTCAAAATTTGTTAGGCATTAGCACAATTTCTCAACACTGACAAGATTTTGGTACTTGCTTCTTGAAAAAAAAAAAAAATGTTCACAGATGGTATTTGAGGTTTCTAATTACAGAGGGGAGAAAAACCATTGCGAGATTTTTTACATTCATTATTATTTCGACTGATCCAGCCCAATTTCAACTTAATTCGTTTTGAGTACAGTTTTTCTCCGGTAAATTTGTTCGATTGGATTTTATTTTCAACTTACGTTACGGTTCTTTCGAGGTATATCTGATTTTTAACAATATTTAAAAAGAAAACTACTTAAAAACAGATGATAAAATAAAATAACTTTTAGAACACATACGACCATTGGGTTAAGTACTCACAAATCACAAATTCTGCTAAATCTCTCTACTCGTGTCACACAAGAGCGGAGGTCATGTAGTACAACTGCATTAAGACCTGCATGTGGACTGGTAAGCAGGACAATCGGTCGTGGGTGTTGGAGTCCATTGCTAGCCAGGACAGAGTGTTGTACCCCTCTAGGACATACCTGCGGAAAACAAGAGAGAAGGGGGGTAATGACAGGAGGAAAACAAATTCAAGGTTCGAACAAAAACAGTTCCTTGAAACTGATTAATTAGTGTATCCCGTTTCTATACCATGCAGTCGGATGAGAAAATAATTCACTGAAGATAATTGTTTTCTACATTGATTGTAAACATAGACTGCTGCAATGAAAATTTTATGAATCTTGAACCTTCAAATGAAGAGATGTCATTCCACAACTGTTATCTGCCACTCAACAGCTTTGATAGTCTCATAAACAATAAACAATCGTATGGCAGACCGGCCTGTAGTGTGTAAACACGGTGTCAAGTGTAGCTACGTCAACAACGTTTTTCTCGGGTGCGAAAAATGTCTAAAGCGGGGATTGCTCACCGGCCTAACCTACCTACCTCGAACTAAACTAGACACGTTGCCAAATAGCCAAATGGAAAATCCGTTCGGGAAAAGTTCTCTTCTCCCGAGGTCTCCGCCCCGCCCCNAGTAATATTTCCCCCTATGCGACGATAAAGATATGAAAAAAGTAATGCTGTTAAAAATTTTTTCAGTTCAGCGTAGAGGAATTTTAGGACATAAAAAGTTTTACTTCATCCATTGTAAACACTTTACTCACTCCTAGGTAAGTTCCCTCTTTCAAAGAAACGTTAGATGGGTGCTCTTGCTGAAATGTTGACTGCAATGATGGTCGATTCGATAGGTATTGGCATATTCCGGGAAGGCCAACCAGTCGTTTAAAATTACTGGAGGTCTTACGGCCAATTTTCACAAATTGAATAAAATAGCATCATTTTAGAATCTTCAAGATCTCAGAGTTGAGCACTCTTTCCACTCCTTGAGAGGAAAGCCTTTGGTCTGGGAAACACATTAAAGAAAAGAGTTGTACCTAAGGACATCAGTAGTGATTTGAGAGTCTAGTGGATGCCCAGCAACCGTTGTCTGCTGCTGAAGAATCTCGTCAGCTTGATTCTGTTGCATGTTGTTGGTATGCATGTGAAGGGCTGATTTCAAGAACGTTGGACACACCGATTCTAAGTGCGGACAAGCTGACCAAAACCATCGGGGCATTTTCCCAACTGGTGCTGTTGAAACTAAATAGCCGAGGGCCAATGGTTGTTGTAACAAAGCACCCACTTCTTCTTGAACATCATTCAGGCCACCACCACCCTATAAAAGTGAATTCATTATGATTAAGAGGGCAATTAAAGTGTAAAACAGCCTCACTTAATGACAAAAAGCATCTTTTGATTTGACTAGAACCAGAATGTCTCTACAAGTCAGGAAGTAATAAAAATAGGGTCAAGGGACCTAAAAAAAAGAAAAAAGAAAGAAAGAAAAAAATGATTCCCTAGCTGGCCGTAAAATTGGGACAGATGTTATTTTATTCTGATCTGATCTAATCTAATCTGAAATCATCAAAACACAATTCTATTTCAGCTCGATTGATCCATTGAAAGCTACAGCCTTTCAGGGGTTTTCATCTCTACTATAAATTGACTTTTTCAGCATAATGTAAATTTCAGTTGGTGTAGCATTCAAGGACCATTTAAATATTATGTGAGCTACTTAAGGGGGGGGGGGGTATAAGCTTGCCTTACAGGATGTTACATGGAAGCAGGAAGGGTAAGGGGTTAAGTACTGTCGTATGTAAGTCTCTCACTTACAGAAAAAATAATATCCCAAAAATAATTATTTTCAGGCTTTCCCAGTTGTTTTCTGAAAAATTAAGGGAGATTAGGCCAGTCTTACATCATTCGAAAGATGGTAAGGGGGTGGCTTACAGGTGACTTGAAGGGGCAACCAAAAGTCGGCCATTTGAAATTAAGTAATCAGAAGTTGTCGGAAGTAAGGCATGTTGTCTTACGAAATACTCGGATGGTCCGTTATGCAAAACTAGTATATTCATGAGAATTTCAGGAAAAATCTTTTACATGCTCTAAATAAACGATTGTTTCGCCCTTCATTTAATATGGATGTATGCCATAAAATTTGTTGTGAACCACCCTATAAACTTCAATTTATTTGCTGAATGGACTTCCTTTTCATGTGTATGTTCAATTATACCTGATAAACTTTGCGTGGAATGTACAGGAATGACCTTGCACCGTCGTCTTCAACGACTATTTGTGAAAATCATTAAGGATGGATGAGACAGCATGTTTACTTACTCTAGAAAGACCTCCATTGCATGGAAAAACATTATGGTCATCAGAGGGTCCACCCATGGGGCTTCCTGGCTGCGAGGAGGAGTCCCCTCGACCTCGAGGACTGCCATTCGGAGATCTACCTCCACTAGGGTCAGCGTCTGTCCAAGTGCCAAAGATGTCGTTGAAGTCTGTCATGCCTTCAGGCATATCATCGTTCAGAGCGGAAAATAGTTCATCATCACCCAGCTCAGTATTGATACCATGCTGAATATCTTGGAATGCAGTTTGAGAGGACTGTAACAAAAGAGAAAAATTCATGTTGCAAGTGAAAAAACAACTTGTTCAAGGTCATGACCGGACTTTGTTCAATCACGAACTTCAAAGAGGTTTGAAATAAAGAAATGTTGATGGAAAAAAAAGAAGTAAAAAAGATATCACTGACTAGGGAGTTCAAAAATATAGCCTTGTGGCACTTGAGAAATTTTAACAAACAAAATTGAAAAAATTATCCGTGAATTAGTGTGACGAATAAATTTGCGACTAGAGAAACAGGATTTTCTTACCTGAGTGGTAGCAGAAGTAGGAAAAACTAAAATGTGTGTGCAAGAGACATCTTCCGGTGTTGATAGCTGACAGTTGACAGACGCTTGACTGAATCTTTCGTCAGGAGTGAACTGGTCTGGCATCAAGCGGAGGGCCGAATCTGGTTCGAGAGAAACCAGACACGCACTCAGGATCGATGGTACATCTGTTGGGTACTGTAAACTGCACTGGCTGCATATTTCCTTCAAGTGTTTAGAAGCTTCTAACAAAGATTTCCGACTTAGCAGCCAACTCCATCCTGATAGAGTTGAAAGATGTAAGTTAGAGGAAGAGGTTAAAAATAGGCGATTCACAATGAATTTGTGTCTCCATTGTGATAAGTCAAGAGGGCAACAGAAAAGAAAACAATGCTACATCCGAGTGCAAACTTTCCAGCAGAGCTAGAGTTCTCGCCAGATAAGTTTACGCACTTACAAACTACGACATCTTTATTTTTTCATTTACTTTCAATTCTTAACTGACACTAAAAGATCTTCTCAAAATATGCATTGACTTGTTTTGTGTGGGCTCTAATTGATAAGAAAAAATCTGTGTGATGAAATTGTGATGATATTTCATCAGAAAGAGGCCAAAAATTTCAAAATTAGAGATCTTTAAGTACATCTATGATTAATTTAATACATTGAGGACTATAGGCCAGAGAATCTAGAAGATTCTAATGTTTTTTGCAGGCGTACGATTCTTATCAGTGATCAACAAACTTAAGTTCAGCATTTGTTCCAACTTCAAAAAGTCGATTACTTGACAGTGCGCCAAGACAATATTTCATGACATTTGATCATTAACACCTTGCCTACCAAGGTATTTTAGCACTTATTTCCTACCCAGCCAGAATAGCACATAAAAAGTGCCTCTGAGAAATTCAAACTCGAAAAAATTCTTAAAAATATGACAAGATGCACACTTGGTCTCCGCAGCTCCGCAGTGCTCACCTGAAATGGGAAAATCAGCTACTTGAACGCTGATTGTTTTTAACGATCATTTAGCTCCCTCAAAACACATTGAAACTAATCAAATCTATCGGTGAGGCAGGCAACGTGTCAAAATGAGCTGAGAGGAAATGGCAAATTGTCTTAATTCTTGACATAAAAAAACTTAAAATGTAAATTGAAAAATGACTGTTCATGTAAAATTACCTTTTAATTCACCATGACCTATGCGTCCAACTCGGCCGATGATAAGCCTCCATGGAGTGACACTTTGAGACATGACACCTAGGATGAAATCCATTAATTTTTGTAACCCTAATCTCCTTGCAGATGCTTTTCTTCGTCTACTCCTGTTGATAAGATCCAGACAAAAAAATTCAGATTAGACAAAGAAATGAGTTCAAAATGAAATACTCGTTTAAAATTGTAGTGCGACAAAAAAAAACCTGAACTTAAAAATTCTGACCTTTAAAAAAGTGAAATACAGTCAACCCTTTTTAAGCGGAATAGCAGGTAAGCCTAACTTTCCTTTAAGTTCTATCATTGCAGGGTCTCATCAAATTCTCATAAAACTAATATTAAAAATTTAAGCATAACTCAGATTGCCAGTAAAATGGTATCCACTTAACTTGCGCTCATGTCCTTTTTGTACGCTGATCTGGCAGGCAGCACTTTAAAAGATTTGAGAGGAACAAGCTTCATGAGTTGTATACTTGCCTTTAGACGGTAGAAAGACAAAGTCATTCGCAATGCTTACCAGGCAGAAAGACAGAAAAAGACTCTCCTCATATTTTATAAGAGAAAGTATGTTCATGAAGGTTGATAAATTATTACTCAGTGCTTCTAAATAAATTTTTTTTTTCTTTGCACCTCAATTTTTGCTGCCTTTAATTGTTTTTTAAGGAGCCGATTTCACTTGCGATGCGATTTCTTTAAGAATGAGATGAAATCAGCTGCGTCTAGTCTTCCTTATACTTGAATGCTTTATAATTTGTTATTTGTTTGTTGGACTGTAAATCAACGATACAAAATTATTGTGACTGAACTTTCTCCTAGTTTCCTCACAATACCTGTAATAAGTGCTCAGCATTTTGGTTTTTTACCTCAGGAAGTTAGTTAAGGATTATAGGTTAATGATCCAAATTAATGACTTTTACAGTATTTTTCTTTACTTGTGGGGTACCACAAGGTCAAATTATATCCTAAATTGATGGGTTCAATAGGCAAAAAACCTACAACTGCTCAAGACTTACCTATTTGGTATGTGAATATTGATGGTGGCGGTATCTAGCAAGATCCCTTGCTCGTCTGTCGCTGAGGCCAGCAGCCATCTTTGGTCTTCACTTAAACAATAACAAACGTAAAGTACCGAACATTTCTGGTCTGCTGGTGGTCCGCCATTGTTAGAACTGCTACCGCTAAGGATATCACCATCGCCACTTCCACCGCCAGTTGTTTTATCCCGCGCACACGTGAGAATATACGGGGGAGTGTACACTTTGTATGGAGCCTTATTCTTTTCCTGCAAAAATATCAGACATAATAATTGAAATTATATAGCAACAAAAAGCTAACTGTTCCATGCTTGCAACAGGTACTTTGGAGAGAAAGGCATCAAGTTCCAGGGCAAAATAAAAAATCGAAATTGAAAAGAACTTTGTCAATAGAGCACAAAAAGCACCTCAAGATCGAGTAGGGATGATGTTCATGTTTAGATTATCTGAAAGAATGATGAAAGGTTGCCCTCCATCATGGTGCTATTTCAAGTTTGCATATACAGATTCCTTGCTTCACACTTAATACAGAGATTCTTTGCACTAAGAATGTACAGCACCTTTTTGCAACTCAATATTCCTCACAAAATCAAGAAAAAAATGAGCAATGAGCATGGTTCTGCTTGATGCTTTGCGAGGCGAACACTGAGCTTATTTTAAGCGGCAAGGATATAGCCATGGCTTGATGCCAGAAGGACATGTAATATGTCCACAGGACATATTGTCAACAAGACATAAAATAACAGTAATTTTCTTCTTCTTTTTTTAATTTTAAACGTCAAAGTCTTTAAATAATAACGAGTAGACTTTACTGGTACTACGATGGAAATTCAACTACTTAATGAGCGTAGGCAAAAATAACTTACATCCTTGTTCTTTAAGAAAAGGTCTGTCATGGCTGCTGTTCCGAACCCTGTCAATGCCTTGATGTTAGAAGTATGAGAAAGGTAACGACGGCATTGAGAAAATACAGACATAGCTAAGGCACGCATATCATCGAGTTTACACTTCCGATCACCAGATCTACCTAGTTCCACAATACTTTCCAAAGATATAATCTGGAAAAAGAAAGAAAAAATTAATATTAGTACAAAGAACTGTCTGTAACGTAATTGAAGACTTGATAAAAATTTGAACGGTGGTGAATATTGTTCAGTGAATATCTTGTACAACATTCGTTAACTGCATGTTGCCTTCACCCCAGATTAATTCTGCCTATTGGCTGCTTGATTGATATTTTTACATGTTAATGATGTTTTCGTAAGTTTATTTTCCATCATTTTAAAATTGATAAAGTTAAAAAGACCTGATGGTTACTAACCTGAAGTGAGATGTTGGTATTGATGTTTTCTGGCAAACTAGCTAGAACAGTATTGAAACAACGGAGTAGACCTAGGCAAGCTAGCCGCTGAACATCCGCACTAGTACCATTATGATTACTGTCGGCGCCTATCGTGAACGGTTCGACTAAATAGATGACAATGGCCGGAGGATCGCCTTCTTCATCACTACTTGTATCATGGTTGAGCTCTTGACTGGATGGCGTAGCAGAGTCACCGCCCCCTTTGCTATCATCTGAAAAATAAAAAAAATTCATCAATTAATGATGCTAGTCCTTGACAATGTTGATACAACTGACAGTAAAAATAAGTGAAACCCTCATTCATTGTCTTGCTACTTTAATCAATGACAAAGAGATTCTCCAAGTGAATAAAAAAGACAGCATTCTTTCTTTTAAATGAAACGTTAAAAGAGAAATAAGACGAATAACCATCTGAGAAACATTACTGCTGATCTGAAATTTTCAGTGAGCAAGGTCAAGGTCAAATGACGGTGATGCGCTCAGTGTTATGAAACAGACAACTTAGATGTTTCTTTACATAATGGAATTCCACAACCCCATTAGAGATTTACAATGTCTATTCAAAATTCAAAATGAATTTTTCTGTTGTTTTCCTAATTTTTCCTAATGTTTATAATGAAATCTCTTAATTTTGTGCCCAAATAAATTGGCACTTGTTTGATTTAACTAACCAACATATTCAATGCTACATGCACATGTTCAATTTTCCTGATATTTTTCTGATACAATCAAATTCCCTGATATTTTCTCTTTTTTCCAGTCATGACTGATGGCAGACATCCTGTGATTAAAAAACATCAGATTAGCTGTTCCTTCTTCAGTGTGCCATATGAGAAGCAACGTTTGGACCACTTCATCACAAGATGTTATGACTCATAGATTGATGATAATATTTCTTAGGTGATGAAATTGAGTAAGAAGATAAAAGCTAATATTACCTGTTGACTCTGATTTTGGCGTGGAGGGAGCTTTATCCGAACCATCGACAGAATTGGGAGGGGGCATGGGCGAGGGAGCAGGCCGATCCCCGTGTCTAGGTTGATTGGCAGCTTCCGGTGGATCCAAGAGAGTTCGATCCATAGGACACTGAGAGAGCTGGGGTGCCAGGTAATGCCGACAAACCTACAAAACCATAATTGAGTAATGCTTTAGAAAAAGCACATATGACAGCATACATGGTTTATCTGCCAGTGGCGAATGGTCGATTTTCCGTATTTCTTCATTTGAACCTATGGTAAAAAATCGATTATTAAGGTGTTCATTGCGAACACCCTGTATATCAATTCTTTTTTATAAGTTTAAATGGCAGATCAATCAATACATCGCAAAGCACGCCACGCCACTGTTATCTGGGGAACTGCTTAACTGGTTCTTTGAACTCTAATGTACATACATATAAATTACTACTTGATCACCTTCAAATTCTGAATTTGAGAAAAATTTGAGAAATAGTGTGACCGGTATATTTCTAAAATAGATATGCAGGAAAAATTAAAAATTGTTAGAAAGGGTAGCTTTATATATTCATGGTAAATGAGCATATTAATCTGGAAAATCTCCTGAAAATCAGAGTCAATTCTTTAGCTGCGTTTAAAATCCATTAAAAAGAAATAGATTTCTTGGAGATTGAGGGAAATAGACATACATGGAAGATAGCTCCTTCAATACTGATTAAAATAATTATTAACTCAAAAATTAATTTGCTGGTAAGGTTGAAAGGCGCTATTTTTGGCTGACAGTTGAAAGTTAATAGCACAGCAAAATAGCTCTTGCCCAGAAGATTAAATAGAATTGAGAGTTACAAGGCAGGGTTAACGGTTAATCAATGTTGAGGCGCAAATAGTTATCATTTAAAGTTTGGACTTTGATAAATATTAGTATCTTACGAGAGTCTTTGAAAAATAAGGACAAGACATATCAGACAAGAGACATCTATATAACTGCAAACAAAAATGAATAATTTTCGTAACTGTTGCAGAGGATGTTGAAACATACCTGAGCATAGAGTTTTAGCATTGACGTGACATGACTTTCTCCTAGCATTGTAAACCATTCATCAACCGGTTCTTTCGCTAATTTAGCTGCAGCAGACTTGCCAACTCGTAGGATTCCATCCCTTAGCACCTTGGTAATTGGACAATGTCTACCTAACCTACAAACCTGAACACAAATGCATTGACGGGATTAAGCAGTTGATAAGTTAGGTGATTTATGATTAATCGGAGTAAGAACGAGTTGAGTTTCTTATCAAACTTCATCAAACATATTACACTCGATGCATTAAAGAGTGAAAAGTGGCAATCAACTAGTTGTAATTGAGATTCATCAAACTCTATAAAAAAATCTTTTATGAAAATTCTTAGTACAATAGCCTACTTCTTGCCCAGATTTGACAGTTTTTCTTACAAGACAGTTTTTAGCGATTACCCAATCTCTAGCAGATAGTGCCACTGCCGCGCTAAGGAAAAATAGCGTATAAACATTCGCACAGTGCCAAGTTTTTATTGATAAAATTTTTTTTCTTCAAAAAAGTGATCAATATTTTTCATGGAAAATTTCGGACACTTTACATCAAATTACAAGCAAAATTCTCTAGAAAATCAAAAGAAAAACATTTACAAATAATCCTAGAAATTTAAGATTTGTAAGCTGGTCATAGCTATAGATCTCAACTGATAAGATTTCAATACCTCTCACAAGGCTGGCATGACACTTTGGTAAACATATGAATTAAGTCGGTTATTTTGTTTTCCTTTTAAGATAATAGGTCATCTAAATATACCAGAGCCTAAAGAGAGGACATATGAGCTATTGATATAGTTCATACACTCTTCTACTGAACACGATTAGGATATCCAACTAAACTGTTGACTTAAACTGGATAGGATATTTTCAACTAACCTCATACACAGAGCTTAGCTCCTTGAAAAAGCTTCTTGTTCTTTGGAGAATGTACTCGTTATCAGGCGCGACAACGATATACGCAATGTCCCTAGTGTAACAGTATGGTTCAAGCAGCAGTTTTTCCCAGTATTGCACAGCGTATGGTGAGATCGAGAGCCAGTCCTTCTCGTGGCCAACCATTATCGAAGGGATTGGTTGCGGCTCACAGCGGTCATCTGCTCCGCGACCGGCCAGCCGGTGGAATTGACGCCACGTCAGCGGACCTGACACGGTGTATGGAGCATCCCACAGACGCGTTGTACACTTCTTCTGGATAGCATCCTGTAATAATGGTTGCAGTGTTTTCATAACTCGAATGATGTCCTGATTACAGCGCGGACCCCGTGCCCTTAAGAATGGCCAGCGATGAATACACGATCGATTACTGACGCAATGTTGCGATGATAAAAGCTGTTGCTGTCTAGCTGCCATTTCCTCAACCTAAACACGGAAAGGTTTCAACTCAAATTATTAAAAATTTAAAAATGTAGAAAAATAGCAATTAAAGAAAAAAGACACGACACGACAACAAAAGGAAAAATCAAGGCATTCACTTTAGGGCAACAAAGAGTTGTGATGACTAATGATTTAATGAAATGATAAACCATTGTAAACTCAATTAAAATAACAAAGACATATCACTCTCAGTTTATACATAGAATATAATATGTACATTCTAATAAAAAAGTGACAAGTGTACATACATCTATTCAAGGAAAATACTGGGACTGCACGATTTTTAACTAAATTGCCTCTCATGACCAAAAAAATTTAACAGGGCTAGACTACATTAAAATCGATTAAATCAATTGGTTATGTATACAAGAGCTTGCTCATCTAAAAACAGTTTAAACCCTGTGACTCCACGAAAGAAACTTTAAGAAAAAAGACAAGTAAGTTTAATTTTTAACAGTGACGTCAAAATGATGGCAGTTCCAACTGATCCAATGAATGCCATTTGATCAAGGTTTTACGACAAAGATTGTGATACATACCTTGCACATAGCTACTGTGGACGATTCTAACTGAGCCAGACGACCTTGTTCCAAAGCGACAATCGTCACTTGATTGTTATCTGTAAATTCTAGGAGGTTAAAGGTTGGTGGAGCAGAGGGTGGACGATGAAGACGTGCAGCTCTTAACAATGCATTGCTAGCTGAATGAACTATCACACACTGTTCTCGTACTCGATCCATCACACTCACCTGTTGAGCAAAAAGCAGATGCAATTACAGAATGATACATATAACGAAAAATTCGGATTCATCATCCATGAAATTTCACCACAGCTCAACTAATCATAAATCACAATCCAAGACAATTTTCGGTAGAATACATGTGCAAAAGTTGCTCCTACAATGCACTCTGGCATCTTGATACACCTAAACGCCACATGTGCTTCTTTTCCCAAAGGTACCAGTTTCATTATTCCCAGAGAAAATCGTGATACTCTCCTAAATTACATTACGCGTCAATGTAGTTAGGTAAAGAGTTTCATTGGTGATGTTTCACTTGACTTACTCTCTTGACTTTTGAATATTCTCAGATAATGCGGTGAGTGACATACCATATCATAATGCAGGTATGACTATGGGCTTAATCACTTTTTAGGATATTCATTCTCAGAGACAATGCTCTGTCCATCTGACATGATAAGGATATTTTCTAGCGTTGATAGAAGCTGCAAAAAACTATAAAAACAGGGAAGGAAAATGAATGGACGAGTTAAGAAGAATAAACTCTTAAAAATTACTCACAGCTGCTCCATTGAGGTCATCTTTTTCTACAGGTTCTTCAGCGACTCCAGTGATTTCCAGCTCATCCTCGTAAAACAGGCCAGCACGATGAGATAAGCGTCGGTTCACAACCGCGCTGAACCCGCAGCTACACCGAATTGAATCTTCATCCAAATTATGATGATTTGACGAAGAGCCAGGCGAGAATGGCGACACTTGCGATCCTACTGATGTCTGTGGTAAATAGACAGCAGCATCTGCACCACGAATATTGCCAACAACTTTTGAGCTTCCGAGCTCAGCGTTACAAACACATAATGTGCAACTATCAAAATTGTGATCACGGAAGATATTCATTAAAGTATCACCTAGGAGAATATTTACAATAAGCGAGTTGGCCTCTGGCGTCCGAGAATTTTGCACACCACCCGAAACACTACTAGGCGCAGGCTCGACCGAGTTGATGTTTTTATTATGGTACGAATTGGGACCGGCAGTAGGTGTAGCAGGACTGTAGGGGGGCGGAGCTTGAAGTGGCGTTCTCACGCCAGTGCTTCCTGGTCCTCTGTGCCACGAATTCATTGGACTAGGAGGGAAATGAGCCGGGCTTCCTCTCGGATGAGATGGGAGATTCCGCTGTTGGAAACTGGTTGTAATATTTCCTATGCTGGGTACAATTCTGTAAAAAAACATTACAAATTTATTATTTTCAATCATTTCTTATATTTTAACTATTAAATTTGGCCATCAATTATACTGCTAATACCCAAGAGACTAACTTCCACTCATAATTCAAGGGACCATTAGGATGCTTCCCACAGTAATCAAAGAGCTTTTAATTCTCTGAAAAGTAGAACGCTCACAAAGTGGGGCTGAAACAATATTTTAGGCCTACAGTTTGGACGACATTTAATTTTTAAGCCCGGTTCATGCAAGATACTTCATGAACCTAAAGCTTGGTGCTTAGGATCGGTCACTTCTTAAAATATCAGAGATAAAAGGGTAGGAGTCAGCAGCGCTTAATTACGCTGCGGTGTTGCAATATTTCATTTGACATTTACTTTGACTACTTAAAAATATATGCAAATTTCTTTGAGTTATAACATGAACATAGATTTGACAAGGATTATTTTAAAAGAAGACAAAGGAAAAAGGTGCTTACGAATTTGATTTGTCAACATGGTGTTGTTGCGGTGCATTGTTGTTTTGGAACATGTACGATGGTTTGTACACGTTGGGAGTAGGCAGCGTTACAGGAGGGAGATTATGACTGGGAAGATGAAGTAAAGGCGCATACTTAGAAGATCCCACAAATTTGTACGTTGTCGGCGGTCGAAATACATAGGACCAATCCTGAAACAGATTGACGAACATACTGATGATTTTCGAACATGAGAGGAAATACTGAAGGACATTGTCAAATTTTAGAAAAAGAATTCCAGGACTTTTCCTGATCAATGGATCCATTTTGCTATGTCAGTTCATACTCATCAGTAGTAAATGAACATTAGCGGTGGTGAGAGCAAGTTTGTCACTTGCTAAATATCAAATGGATCAATCAATAGCATTAATGGAGACATGTTTATCTTTAAAACAAACAAATGTGAAGATGAATTGTTGATTTCTGTAATTTCATTAGGAGGACAGAGAATACTTTCAATTCTGATTATGAAAATTCTATTATCATCCTTTATCTGAATGCATGACATGCACAGTAAAATTAATTGTGCAATGAAAGATTCGCTTATAACACACATAATGATACAATTAATCAAGCATTTGTTGTTTAGAACAAGAATGTTGATAAGCAATTTTTTCCAAAAACTCACTTCAATTGGTTCTTCGGGAGGACTACCCATGTCTGGGTATGTTTCTTGTTTTATCCGAAGAGTAGCAGGTAACAGATAGTCCGATACAGATTCATGAGTAGGTGTGTCGGAGAGCTGCCCGCCACATGGCGATGCGTTTGGATTATGTTCAAGAGAGGGAGGAGTCGGGAACATTTTTGACAGTTCTTCCGGGCGCAATATTCCTGTACCGCAAGTACCGCTTCCACGCGGAGGTCTCACAAGCAATGAATTTGTGCTATTTAAGCTCCCGCCATCTTCACTGCCAGCTGGTTTATTTGATCCAGGAGGGGTAGGTACTTGTAGCTGCACACACAAAATTTTACAGCTATAGAATCTCCATAAATAATTCATTTTCGAATTTGCTTACTTGACAAACAATGCATTAGATACACTATTTAGTGCTTTGAACTAGCACAACAAACAAGATAGAAAATTTCATGACTTTCGGGAAGTCTCAAGTTTCTCAGGTTTTTCATGTCTTAGAAGCCCTTAACAGTTACTTAAATGCTGCTAAGTGTTATTGGTAAAGAAAAAATATCAGTAATTTGATTGAAAAAGTATGAAACTAGTAAAACATGTTGTACAATAAACATTGGTCTGATAAAAGAGATAACTAAGCAAGGGGACCAACCATGATCAAAACTGTAATGGGTATTAATGGGTCTATTTCGGTGATTTAATGGACCCTACGAGATCAGCAACTGTTGATAAGATTTGTTGAAGCACAAAACGTCCAACATTAAGAAAGATACTGCCCACTGAAAAAAGCCGTGTATGACATCATCCACTGCATATTGCTTACTCTGGCTTCTTCCTCTTTGATTTCATTGGTGTATTTCATCAAACAATGTGTATATCACCGACTGGTTAAGCCATCGTTTGCATTACTGGGGTAGATGACATCATATCGATGAGCAATATCTCTGTTTATATTAGATGTAGAAACTTAACGTTAGAGCGGATTTTATTATTTTTTGCTAATCTACAAACTTAGACCATCATAACACAATTCTGAGACAAGCACAACTGACGCATTGAAATTAGCTTACACGGTCATAAATTTTCATGTTCTCGAACCAGACCAATATTCAGTCACTTTTTAAGTTGGAAATTGTTAAAATATAGGAAAATATTTTGACAAATAAAATTGAAAATTACCGTCTCATCACTAGAGGTATCATCAGAATTGTCAAACAATCTATCAAGGTCCTTGAAAGTTGTATTTTCTGTTATGTACATGCTATCGGCTGTTGTTGTTGGACATTTAGGCTCATTTGCAGCAGTTATTTCGAAGTCTTTCTTATCTTCCTCCTGTGAAAATATTAGTAGAGAGCTTTTAGAAAATTTACATCCTATGCATTGAAAAAAAAAGATAACTAAAGAGGAGAAAAATGACAAAACTCATCATTAAAAAGACCAAGATAGGTACTTAGGTGTTTGACGGTTACCAACATAAAGGAAGAAATTACAGTATGTTTCATACGCCAGCTGAAAAGTTAGAAATTTTTTGAGGGGTCTGGCAATACTAAAAACTTAACGGAACTCGTGAATTGGAGATAGGAATAGTGGCTACAGAGATTTTCAAAACTTGACTTTTTGACTTGATAATGAATGAGAACACTAATAATGTATATAACAGCTCATGGGACAGAACTTCAGAACAAATTGAAAGAAAACAGAATCCACATAAACACATTGTGAGCCCTCCTAAAAAGCAGGGATTTTTAAGAGCAAGAAAAAAATAAAGGGAAAAACTTCCCTAGCAGACAACACATTGATAAAAATAATTGCAGGTAGGAAGCACATACATTAGCAGGATTGCCACTTTGTTTAAGAACTTTAAGCCTGGAGTCACGGCAACCTTGTTAACTTATTCACTCTAGAATCTGTGTAGGAGAGTTGGACTGGACACAGAGGTGAACTCTCAGCACAGTATGGGGGGTACTCTCCATTATGGCCTTGACTCAGAGGGCTTTTTTTTGAGCTTTAGGGTTTGCTCCAGAGAAATTCAGTGGCATCATAATGTTTCTTGGAAAATTTTTCATTAGAAAAAGTGCTTAAATCGCTAATCCCTGATGCTCGCAGGGGCCCCATTGATACACTTCAGACAACAATCAAAAGCCACAAAATTATGAATAAAATAAGATATTAAGTAAGCTCCTTATTGAATACAAGTCATGCTGCTCCTTAAGCTAATTTTGTATCCTTCTGGCAAAACCACATTGGTGAAAATAGGCTGGTGTTATTACATTCAAAAGTATGCAATGCAAGAAACACGATTTTTTGAGAGATATACTTAAACTGAACTACAATGAAGGAAAGGATTCTACAATTTGCTGAATTCAATATTTCTATGAGCATTTCCTGCATGAGTAGCGGAATGTAAGTCGTCTTGGACGCAACCAATTTAAATTCTAGTATATGGTGCAATGGCTGATGACTTTCAATTTAGCAAAGATCACAACAGACATCCACAAGTCTTGGTTGAACTGTTCGCTCTTTAAACTTTGCATGATCAAAACGAAAGAGAATCGAAATCAAGGTTGCCACAGAATTTAGAAAATGAATTTTCTTGACATTTCCCTGATTTCCTGGACACATTTTGGCAAAATTCCCCGACAGCTGAAAATTTGCCAGGCGGTTAAAAAGAAATGATTTGAAAGAGTTTTCAGGCAAAATTTGTTGTTCAAAACGTCTAACTTATTCTAGAAAGCAAATAAAGGTGACTTGACCATTTTTCCCTGACATTTCCAGCTTTTCTCTGACTTATCAAAATGCAATGACATTTCCTGGAATTTCCTGACTGTGGCAACCCTGGTCAGATGCAGATAAGCGACAACAAATCCTTTGCGAGAAAGAAAAATCTTAAAATATAAAAGCATTAGATGTGATGGCAAGCAGCAAGCTAGTCAAAAAGTAGTAAGTACCTGATTTGAGGTTAGACCCGGTTCCGATTTGATAAACACGGGTGACTGAGCTGGAGGAGAGGATGGTAGAGGTGGAGCGTAAGGGTTGTTGTAAAGAGAACTAGAGGAAGACGAAGATAATCTAGGTGGGCCTGGACCTCCCCGAGTATTTGGTTCAGCCGGTTTAAATCGTTTCACAGGATGATTCAACCTGGCACACACACATGCAGATAAAATGATCAACAAAGCATTGTACTTAATCACAGGGGGAAAAATGGAGAGGGCGTTACTGTAGGCAAGACTGGAGCCTATTAACAGTGGATTTTGAGTGGGAAAACAAAAACAATTCTAAAAACACATCGGCCCCATTCCCAGACTTAGTCATCCGTTCATTTTGTTCTCTTCTAGCACAAGCTCAAGTAGCTTTTGAGCAAAGCGGGTGTCCACATGATTTCCTTACGAATATAAAATAACTGTGTGATAACGGACTGTTAGGTTTGGTTAAAATTCACTTACAAATAAAAAAAAAAAATCAACTGCATTTAAGATTAAATAATTGACAGTAATATTATGATCAAGACTCAATTGAAATTGGGAGAAAAAAAAAATTCTACTAAGATTGACAACATTTTAGCATCATTCCTAGACAGTTTCTACACCTACAAAAATAAGTTAAACAATACAAATCCCTTGAAAAATTATGTATGAAATCAAAAAACTGATAATTTTATTTGAATAATTTATTCTTTGGAGCATTTTTTTTTTACAATCACGGCCCAAGGTGGGGGAATCGCTTGACATCTTTAATTTAGATGTTACAAGCCCATAAAGCTTAAGATAAAGGAAAGTATATTGAACAAATTTCCGCAAGAGATCTCATCTAATGAAAAGACTTTTTTAAAAGCGTACATAATATTGAACAATGATCAAGAGTGAACCACAGAGGGCCGAGTAAAGACATCCGTTCTAGTAGACTAATCCACTAAGGATATAAATTATACTTCAAAATATTATTCAGTTTTGGTGTCAAGAGATATTTCAATCATAACATTATTTGTACCAAAACTTGCGAATAATGCGGTATTGCATTAACCTCTGCTTTTTTTTGAATGTTTGTGGCTCTAAGTTTTTTTCACATTAGCCTTTTTGTTAGTGAATTGTTTTTTCCACATTAATCTTTTTGATATCGTACATCCTCTGGTTACAAAAAAAAGTGTGCCTTTAATGGTAATCTGATGTTTTAGCACTTTCAAAGACCAACAACTAAGTTAAAGACAAAATAATGTTGCAAGGAAAAGATTGTTCATCTCCATTACTTTAGGAGACGACACCTTCGCAAGCCTTGCCTAGATTTCCAAAGTAATTACTCCGAAAGATATCAGTTCAGGAATTTCAGTTTACAGAGTCTCCCTGTCACATGTCAAATGATGATGCCCATCTTTATCAAAGGAAGAGAATTTAAACCTTGGGACTCACCATGCATCAAGCGTTGAATAATCGTAGAGGAGTTGAGAATGGACCTCCTCTTCGAGGAGAGCAGATTCATAATCTTTGGAAGAGAGCACAGGTCTTTTCAACAGATTGACAACTGGTACAGTTGGGGTAGCTGTTGATGTCATGTGGGTCGAGGTTTGCAGCTGGTGTGATGCCAACTGCAGGGAGGGTGCCGAGGTTGTAACAGGAGGCGGCGCACTTCCTGGGCCTCCAATGCTTTCTTGACTGCTCATTTTGATTCCGCAATCAAGACTTCCCGCAGAGGTGTACGGAGAGAAGACCTGTTCAACACAAGCAGAATAAACTATTAAACGAATCCATAAATGATGCAGATATATTCAATTGAGACTTTGCAGGTAACTGAAATTTGGTGAATTTCAAATTTCAGTGAAAACTACTGACTGATTCAGCATGATAATATCCTTGCTTTTTAAGTTGAACATTTATTGTAGGTGATAAGACTTCAATTATCTAATCCGCTAAAATGTACATTTTCAAACAGGAAATACAGCCTGATGACAACACAAGGTAAAACTTTTTTTCACTTTAAAACTTATGTATTTTTCTACAATTCCTCAACAGAAATAATTATAGGAAATACTACAAACTCGGCTCATTAGTAAACGCTCTCAAAAGAAGCAAAAAAAAAAAAAAAATTTCAAGAAAATTTTCCATTCATCGCAGTATGAAGAAGTCCAATTTTTCATTCAGTCAATAAGGCTCTTTTTAACAAATGATCATGTCATTCTTGCACAGAATGTCCCAGAGTAAACAGTCGCAAATAGTGGCATTTTTGAAGGTCGAAAAGACATTTTTCCCTCCTTGAATAAGGACCTTGAAGTCAAACCCCTCCGAATTTCAGGGGTGAAAAAAAAAAAAAAAAAAAAAAAAAAAAACAAATACACACGAGTAATTAGTCTCTAGTCATGTAGGATAAGCTATTTGTTTCTGCCTGTGAAGCTTTAGTTTCCCTATTTATGGTAAGCAAAAAATTAACTTTTCATACCTGATTCGATACAGATGAAACCGATTTCGGACCTCCATGCAGGTCCGACGTTGGTGTTCTGGTAACCTTCTCATCATTACTAGGAGTATTTGGCTGTTGTAGGGGTGTGGGGTGTTGGGGCGAAAGGGTAGGCATTGTTGGATCTATAGAGGAGGGCACGGATGATGGTTGAGGAACAGAATGGGGATTCGTGAGTGGGGAGGGCGCTCCGACAGAGGGCGTTGATGGTGCCGCCAGCAGTGAGTCACTTTGGTGGTGGTGGCCATGGTGAGGGGTTGAGGCTCCGCTAGGATTGTAACTACCGATCACATGTCTGGAAAAATTCGACAAGATTAATTACTTTCAAGGCATCGATGAGTTTAGGCTCACTATGAGATTTAAAGAACGAGACTAAACTTGAAAGAATGGAACCAATCAGTTTTAAAACTTCAAAAATTATACCTTCCTAACTTTTCAGCAAAGGATGATTTAATAGTCAAATTTCCCAAAGTTAGTGAAAGTTGGATGTTCTAGTAGATAAAGGGAAAAACGTAGTGGGATGCTAGTCATGGAAAGTGGACATAATAAAACTAATATTTGCATTTCTAGTTCCACTATTACATTTTTTGTACAATTACATTGGAATTCTTACCAATGAATAAATTATTAAGAAATCATTAACATGCTGATGACATCTTCTATCAATTTACATGAAGAGCCTTGCACATTACACACAGAATTTGGCACCAGGTAAATTTCTGTAGTATTCGAAATGTTCTTTATGACATCCTGCTTTCAAAGTCAAACTTTCTTCAGGCGAATTTTGAGAAAAATTCTTGCAAAGGAAGACAGCTAAGTCTTCCTTTGCAAGAATTCCTTCCTTTGAAAAAGACGGGCAAAGGTCAATGTCATTTAAAATTATATATTATAAAATGATACTGAAACAGTGGTTCTGAATTCTTCAAAAATGAAGAATTAAATTTTAGTCGATAATGTCATAAACACAACTGACAAAAGAGCGAACAATATATGGTTCTGCTACTTTAAAAATTTTCAGAGTGTTTGAGCTACTGAATAACAAAGCCTTTTTGGAATTTTAAAAAATTTGAAAATAAATAAATTGCGACATTACATTGGTGCTGGGGGACATTGTTATCAAACAATGTTTAGTGCAGTTTAAGTTCTTTATGAGTTAGAATTTCAAAAATTTTGGACCAAAGAGGAAAAATATACTTACAGAACTATAGCAAAAGTACCCTTACTTACTAAAGCAGGCATGGGTTTGATTTGAAAAAAAGTTTCGTGCACATTCGTCTGAGTGACAAGCCAAGCATGAGGATGAAAGGCAACAGCAAAGTACAGCAAANGGGGGGGGGGAGGATGTAGCTAAATCAGCTAGACAGGATATTTTAGAGATTTACAAAGCTTGCAATGATTGACTAATGCAGAAAAGGTGACAGGTTTGGCTAAAATGAGAAAAGAAAGATTCAGGGGAGATGTGCTGAAACCATCCAACTCAAATTGTGCATTTCAGTCTCAAGTACAACCAGAACCCAACCTCAATTTTTAACTTTCATTGGAAAGTATTGACCAGAAGTACACATCATCGAGTAGTCTGAGGTACTCTTAACTCCATGTTCTCACCCAACTTATACTATTTCCATCACTTCAAATTCATGAAAGAAAAGGACAAAACTTTCAGCTCATTTTTTATTAGTAGTGTTCCCCTCAAAAAGAAAGAAAAAAAAAAGAGAGAAAAAAAAGAGAGAGAGAGAGAAAAAAAAAATGTCATGCAGCATTTTGAAAAGAACACTATAGCACAAGAGAAAGCTTTAGATTACAACAATATTACACAGGGTTTTTATTTCTTTCTTTATATCAATTGGATGGTAAAGTGCATGGAGGAAATTTCCATTAGCATTATCCGAAGTTCAGAAATGCATATTGAAGAGAAATGTGCCGTGTGAAGAAGCAAGAGTAGAGTGTTATATGGAGAATTATAATGGAATTGGCTTAAAACTGCAATGGCATGGGTTTATGGGCGGCATGATAAAAATAAATGGATTAAGGTTGTTAAATACTCATTAGGAATGAGACGACCAAGGATTTTTAGTGCTCCAATCTTTCCGCAACATCATAACCTCTATCTGTTCACAATTTGATACAGAACTGTGACTTTCTCAAGGACAGGTTGAAGAGGAAAGATCGGTTTATGCAACCCAACTAAGAGAAAGAGAGAGAAAAACTGTCCAGATATGCTTCAATCTCAATACAATGGAAAAAAGACTCCAGTCTTGCAAACGAATAAAGCTGGAGAAAATCAACTACTTGACATCTAAAGATGGCAAGTTGATGCCAAGATGATTTCATTTTTTCAATCCTACCAATTTCAAATTTAATCCATATTATGCTTGCCATGGAATTGGTTGCTTGCCATCTGCACACTTGGTTATTTCTCACTTACCTTAGTAGAAAACGACGAAATGGGTCAAGAGGGAGTCATGAAAGGGGTCAAATTAATGAGATGAAATAACAAATGATGAAAAGCTTAGATGAAAGAGTGTTCAGAATTCATCAAAGTATTTCTTTCTTCCAGTATTTTCATTGGTCAACAATTTACAAAAACTAAGAATAAGTAGATGGGACGATTATTTACATCAACTTACTTCTACTTGCTTGACTCAATTCACTTTTGAAGATAAATACACTTGATTAAATGTCTACACTTAGACAATTCCCAGAGATCAAAATTATTTTTCTAGCACTATGACCTGGAGAGAGGGTCGATATTTCACAATTTTCTTCTTCAGAACTTCTTCATTGCTTCAATGAAATCACATTTTCAGAATTTATCAGAATTCTTGAACTCTCAATCTAATGAGTTTAACTAAGAGCGATGAAAAATTTCAACCAAGTCACCCGCAAAGAGAAAATTTTCAACCTCACAGAGCAATTTTAGTGGCAAAAAAAAAGAGCTTTAATAAATAAATATTACAATTCGGTGAGTATTAAAATTCAAGGATCCAGTGTATGAGACAGGCAATTTTAATTCTTTCCGTAACAGACATGCACTTAGCTTTTGCCAATGACGGTGGTCTCATCGCGGCCTCGAAAAGAAAGGTCAGAGGTAAAATAGCTCAATTTATCATGTATTGGTTGCGTTTAATGTTGCCATTTGAAGTTTGCTTTTTATCATACCTTCAGAATTCATAAAAATATAAATATATTTTTAGAATTATCAAACTTCCTGATCACAATCGGCTTCATTCACTGGACCCTATAAATAAGAGACTTGAGAAACTGAATGAATTGTTACAAGATCTCTTAGGAAGGTTGAAAATTCCATGTCCAAAAGAGTAAGAAACCCAAGTGAAAAACCCAAGCTAAAAAAGAACAAAACAATAAACCAACAACGAACCTTGTTAACGGGTTCGAACAATCGTCGGTGTTCTTTTGAGCGAGTGGGCGACGATGAAAAGGGGTACGAAGGTTACGAGCTACTTGGCCACCTTTCAAACCATCGAAATTCCCACTCTGGTTTTTACCTTGATTTACTTTAGTACCGACCTTTTTACACCTGTAAGTTCATACACGTATCCAGTTTAATAAATGTCTTTCTACAATGATTCATCTCAAATTGCTTACTTGCAAACATGCATGAGACATTGTCTTTTTGAAATCGTGAGAGTAAAGGAGGGCCAATTGATTTTTAGTGAAACGGCAGCATCAAATAGTCAACTCAATAGCTTGTTCAGTTTTTAGCCATGCTTCACAAGGAAACATACATTTATAGATAAATCAGAACAACTACAATGGTGTAATATGCTGTGCTGTCTCAGCGCTTCATAAAATACTTAATTCTCCCATCTTTTGCATCATAATTAGTTGCTGGGAATTTTTTCTCTATTTTTCATATTTAGTGATTGATTTTGAATGAGGGAACTTTTAAGAATACATTTTCTTCGTGGCATGTTTTTGTTATTTATTGACATGATACTGATGAAAATTTGCCAAAATTCTGGCACATATACTCTGTTAACTTCTTGTGAGGAGATAGAAACCTGTTGGAAAACGGCAAATTTTACAAGTAGATCACGTCAAATTTTTGTTCAAGTACACATGAAAGTTCATTGACTCCAGTGCACATGAACTTGCCAAAATAAGGCAAGGATAAATTGATTTTGTCAGAGAGCCCTCTAATTACAATTAAAATGTTTATGTTTCATAGAGGCATTAATGTCTATTAATAGAGACTTTCAAGGGCTAGAGACAAGAATTTACAGTGAGAACAGGAAGAGGGACACACTTGAGTCCAAGTCAAAACTAACACATAAGATTCACTGCTTCAAATCAAGTCCAACAGGACATGCATGCACACAGAAACAGAGAAAAAACAAATAAAACACTACAAAAAGAACATGCTTAATCACACTCTATAAATTATGGAAATATTGAGAGGTAGGTAATTTGAGAGATCGGAGGGTTACAGAATGGACACTAGGAAGGGTCAAATCTAGTTTGCAATTGATCTTTACTGCATAAGACAGTAAAACTCATCAAAGGGATAGCCTATGCTTTGTTGCTTTTTTGCTTCTGTGCTTGGACCAAGGACAGATTTCTTGTCAGGGATTTTGACTGAGAAATTCTATCGAGGGGGCAATCACTGAAATCTTATCTAAGTTGATAGAGCATTATTTGACAAATCTGAGAAGGAGTTATTTGATTGATCAGAAAAACCCTTGTATTGATTTGCTCTGCCTTTTCCCATCCACATAACACTAATAACAGGGTATCCACACTTTTTTTAAAGATTGATAACCAAACGGTTATTTGACCCTATACACGGACTACAAATAAATACAGTTGAGAAATGAGGCAATCAAATAGCTCCATTTCAGCTTCTTCTGTCATGTTCTGCCAACTAAGATAAAAGTAGGATTGTCCACCTTCTGCATTGCATCACATCTATTCAGAACTGATGCAAATGCGAGGAATAGTCAGAATAGATAAAGCCAAAAGAAACCGAGAACAAAACAAAAACTATGAGACAAGGCCAGCATCAATTGATTAATCGGCAAACTTCGTCGACTCATGCTGGTCAATATCATGTTGGATTATGATATCAAACTTCTTAAATGTGCCATGCCAAATCCATGTTGATTATGCTAATGACTGACATTTATTGTTTATCAAATTCAATCAAGCCATGAGAAGTTTGAGCGTGAGGCAATCATGATTGAGTGAAATAACGAGGAAAATGATATAGTATTTAAAGTTAAAACAGAATAGCGAGTCTGAGGAGTTCATTTCAATGAAATTGCAGAGGAAAGATTCCCAAGAAAGACGCTTGATTCAGCTTCTCTTGGGAGGGGGAGCATCCAGCAGAGAGAGGGTGGTAGGAGGAGGTTGAATAAGAAAGAGGGAATGCCAGCTCCTTGAAGGTCTCAGAAAGGAGAGGGGACTGTAAACGTGACTCAGTGTGTATATTCGAAGTTTGACTCTGTTAGTTTCATTGTATTCAGAAAAATAAAGTGTACTTTAAGTTTTCACCTATTTTTAATGACTTGTTCAGTAATACTATGGAGAGAATACGTGTGAATATATTTGCTGAAGAATCAAGTGATACTGGTTAGTCCACCTTGTACGGACTCATATCAAGCAGCCAGGGTTCATAGCTAAGGCAAACTTTGAGCTACATCTAGTATGACATAGTATGGAGAATGTAACTTACTTTGAACAGGAGCAAGGCTTTTTTAGCGTTGCATCGGAAAAGTCCCAATGACCCAACTGGGCCTCACTGCTATTATTTGTTGTATTACTACTGGATGTACTGTTTCCACTGTTGCTATTACTACTAATTTGTTTGGTATTGTTAGTTGATGCTGTCGTTGTGGTGGTGGCTGTTTGGGAAGGTTTCGTCGTTGTAACACCGATCAAACAATCCTGCCAGACACGTTCCGAGAGTTCCGTTGCAGGTGTTGATGCATGAACCATTGAGTCTGGATGATGTTGATGATGAGGTACAACGGACACTGTTACCCCTAAAAGCAATCAAATTCAAAAAACTTATTACTCGGCGAAGAAAGAGAGGAATCAAAGAAGATCTCCTAAACATATATTTGGTACTTTTTTCTGGCGGGTATGGCTCATTCAAGTCATTTTAAAACTTGTTACTCAGCTGGATTGATTTTTTACGTGGCGACATGAGTCTGGAAACCTGAAGGATAAATGAACGAATAACCTGGAGAAAAAAAGAGAATTTGCTTATTCCAGTCAATTAGATGGGCCAGGGTGGCTACCGCCACCTGGAATTCAGTATACATATACATTTTCAAATAGATTTTCTCTGTAATCCATTTGGGCAAAACTAAACTGCCTAAAGCAATTTTGAAACTCTCCAATGACCTTGCGTCCTCTCCAAAAAAATGAATGATCAGAGAGTTCTTGAAAAAAGTTTAGACACTGATGACACATTGCGATCGCAATCAGGGACTAATAGCGGAGGTTGACCCCTGGCATATGTCAAGATGCCGCAAACGTAGGGAGGCCGGATACCCAAGTAGCTGGATCTGCCAACATACGAGGGTAGCTAGATCTCCAGGTATGCTGGCATCCCTCGCTACAAAGGATCCCAGGATACGAGGGTGGATTGCAATATTGATATGCTGAGATTCTAAAATCCACCAGATATCAGCTGCTAAGTGCACCGAGATTGGCCGACACAATTCGCAGAACTTCCATTAAAATCCTCACATTGAAGGCATTATCTCTATTGTCCGACGCACAGGATTTCCAGGGTGAACGTAGATAGCTGCTACCAATCCCTGATCACATCATGGGCTCAGTTCCAAAAAAAGTGCAACCTCCTCCATCGTAGGGCTTGCAATCTTCCAAATAATTAAATATAAATTGTAAATTTTAACAAGCATTAGGACTTACCAGTACTAGGAAGAGAGCTTGTTTTCATACTATTAGAGGGAGCTGAAGCGAGCAATGCACCTGTTGACTCGTCTAAATCCGTTACCAGAACATAACATGATGGATACCGTAGTTTCACATTCCCTGTTGGAAAGAAAAAATAACGAATGAAATTCAAATAAAATAAGACAGGCTACTTTATGTAATTTCCAAAGAGAGTCCTCCAATGCATTTTATTTTATTGCAGCCTCAGATCTGAATAAAATGTACCCACAGAAGAATTTTATTATACATTGCAGAACTCACGAAGCTAAACATTATGATTATTGCAGTGAAGACCCTATGACAATTTTTTATTTATTTGAATATTGTATCACATCAGAGTCTCAATTTCTTTCTCTAATTCCTTTCAATTTCAGATTCCTTTTTTTCCTAATAAATGAAGGGTCATACCTAGTATAACAGAAAAATTGAAAAGAATATTTCTAACCATTGGACAGTTGAAAAAATAAATTTAACATTTTTGAAACATCTAATCCATAGATGACGAAAAACATCTGATTTCTATGCTGGCTACGGAAGCAATAAAATCTGTCATGAGGACTGAAGACATGGAATTATCCCTAGATTAGGACTCAAATTTTAGAGATCTGAAAGTAAATTTCTAGCAATAATATGTTAAGTCCCAAAGAGTACAGATTTATGATGATGAGCAATCATGACAAAACTTTTACAATAAAAAGTAGGTTTGAGGGAGAGCAATGATTTATGCCAAAAAAAAAAAATACTTGTAATATGGAGAATTAAGGTGTCATGAAAAGGGAAGAAGGACCAATTTTTTACAACTTACCAACGAGGACTTCGACAGCTAAAGGTAGATCTGAATTTTCAGAGACATTGATGGGATAGAAGTGCTTCCAATCTTCCATAAGCCTATGCGTTTGTGGGTCTAAAGCTTTGTAAGTTTGACCAGTTAATGTTCCTGAGAGGCCAAATGGTGCTAGTATGACTGAAATATAGGAGAAGACACAAAATCGTTACATTCTTTCTCACAAGATCAGTTCCAATAAAATATGCTGATAATACAAGGAATATATGTATGTAAAAAATAACAACATTATATGTAGCAGCGCTGCTCTGAATGAAAGACAATTTCGATTAGCTGGAAGTTTTACGTCATTCCCTGCAAGAAATTACCATTTGTAGATTCAAGGAAGCAAATTAATTCCTAAAACATTGCAGCAATCTTAAAATTTCATGAAATTTTAGAGATTCAAAATTCCTGATATTATTTCTCTCAAGATGAGCCTTCAAACCAGGGCGATGAATTAAATAAAATTTTGAATCGTCTGACTTTAACTGATAAAATGATTTTACGAATTGAGGTAAAATTCAGGGATATTTTCTTCATTTTCCTTAGCTGCACAAAATAAAAATCCTGATTAAAGCTAAATTTCTGTATCTTCCCTCTGACTCTGCAAAAAAAAAATCCCTGACTTACACCTGTTTTCACTAGCTTCGCCAACAAATCAGTTCCACACTAGACAACGACACCATAGGGCAAGTCCCAATGCTGAACTCCAGATCAGCAGCACCCTGCATTCCCTGCTTTTTTCCATTTCTTCTGCTTTTTTGACCCTTGAAAACCTAAAAACTGGTAAGCTGAGGGTCAAATAGCTTACTCCCTGATAGATTTAAAGTAGAAATAGAAACAGGTGGCATATAGTACTAAAAAAAAAAATACTAACTCATGAAATTGAAATGTAAAAACAAAAACTAGGTTATTACCTTGCACACCAGGAGCTCCTGATACTGCCTGAGTCTGAGACAGATGGTGTTTTGTCAAAGATCTTACTGGAGGATGTTGTCGCACGTCTATGCTAGCGCAAACCGTGGATTCTCCGTGAACAAAGAACGCAAAGGAGAACGACAGGTGACCACTGTGAGGGGTAAAAAGTAAATATAAATTAATAACTACCTTTTTGTCTACGAATTCCAAATTTGAACGCTGGGTTGAAGAAAATTAGACCCTCCGGAGAGATAAAAAATTATATTGCCAACGAATTTAACTCCAGAATAATCAGTATGAAATTTATGTTACAAAAGAAACCATAACAAAACTTTCTCTGGGTCAAGACAGTAGAGGAAACGTGTTCAGCAGTTTCACTACCTGCAATGTAATATACAATTGTTGCAGTTTTATACTATAGTCCCTAGCAGTCCCTTGCTACAGATCATTTAAACGAACACACGATATGAGTATCCACAAAACTAGATGTTTCAAAAAAAGATGGTTAAATTTCATAGGGTCCAGCTTAAAGATAAGCGCGAGGTCGTGTATTCAAGATTTCAAGTTTCATGCTCTAATTTTCCACTTGATAATTTGTCCCCCCCATTCTTTTTGAATGAAATAAGACCAAAAAAGGTTTTAAAAAATTGGGAGAGGGACAAACCTTTTCTCCAGAGCTTTCTCTGATCCATCGTAGGGCTGGACGAACCATTTCCCGAGTCGAACAAAATCTCGTGACAGGAGGCACCGCTCGATCAAATTGTGTAAAGCTTTAAAGAGCAGAGACCTACATTCGTAAGATAAGCCACTTTCCCATGAGCCTTGTTCTCCTTCTGCAAACAGAAAATAAACAAGAAATTGAAAAACAAAATTACAGAGGAGAAGGACAGTTGGATTGCATTTTGCAAAAAGGAACCACTAGCATTGCAATGTTGCTAAGATTGTGCAACTTCTTTTGTCCTGGAGGAAAAACCCGATTATACCTTAATAGTTTTTATTTTACTCGCTAAAAACTGTAAATTTAAGACAAAAATTACCATCTAAATTTCATAGTTTTCACAATTTCTGCAATTTTTTTGCAAAGGATGAAGTTGCACAATCTTAGCATCATTGCAATGCTAGTGGTTCCTTATTGCAAAATGTAATTCAGTTAATAATCAGCATGAGAAAAAAACATGAAATAAGACGAAACTATTCGTACAGTGACCCGTAAAAGTGATAGTTTGGGGGGAAATAATTCTCGTCGTCAATTGGATAATATTGAATAGAACACCGCCATTTTGAGGAAGAAAATGTGATCGGGACAACTAAAATTCGATTTTTTTTTCTTTACTTTTTTTTAAATAATATATGCCAACGCCATTCTATCCATTTACTAGCATAGTCTGCGGCCTGCGGCTACCTACATCGTTGGGAATCGAACCCGCGATGTGTAGCTCGTGCGGCAAGCGCTTCGAGGATTCGCACATCATATCATTGAGCTCTCGTTGCTGGATCCTACTAAAATGATTCTCAGTGATCTAGGGCAGAGATCCGTCACTAAGTTGCGCTGCTGGATACAGTCTGTGTATTTGAGAAGCAAATAATTTCCATCCTTTACAAATGAATGGAAGAAACCGCTCTATGAAGTCAGCTTAGCAGCAGTAACACTGATAGTGAGTGGTATGACGTCACATGTGTGAATACTTGTTGAAAATTACAAAAACGGACTTCACTCGTTCACTAAATGTGTACGAAAGAGAGATGTCATGACGTTATCTCTCTCACACACAAAGTTAAAGAGCCAACTCCGTTTTCGTAATTTTCGATGTAAATTTTTAACGAGTCTTCACAAATTCGATGTCAATCCACTCGGTGTTAATACTGCTACATGTGAGGAATCATTCACTTCCATTAATTTGTAGATTACGATTATTATTGCTTCTCAACATGGTGGCGGATCTCAACTCTGGATCGTCCTCGGAATGGACATGTTGCATGTGTGAGGGATTTGCGATTTGACCATTGATTGTTCCGTAAAAGTTCGCGAGAAACACGATGGTGCCACTAGTTTTCTCTGAAATCATCTCCAAAGCTCAAAAAAAGCTCCCAAAGTGAGGCCAATAAATGGAGGGGATATCCCACCCTACCCTGAGAGTCCACCTCTACATCAAAACAAACTCTCCATACATAGATAGGGAGCAAATACATTGGCAGGATTGCCACTTTATTTGGGGACTCCATAATTGAAAACACGGCATCACTGCTAATGTGTTTGCTCCCTATCTTTGCATGGAGAGTTTGTTTTGATGTAGAGGTGGACTCTCAGGGTAGGGTGGGATATCCTCTCCATTTTGGCCTCATTTTGAAAGCTTTTTTTGAGCTTGGGAGATGATTTCAGAGAAAACCAGTGGCACCATCGTGTTTCTCGCGAACTTTTACATAAGAACCAATGGTCGAATCGCAAATCCCTCACACATGCAACATCTCCATCACCCCACCATCGAGAAAACGGCCGGGGTTTTAAATTCTTGATGAAACTCGGACCGATCGAGCACAGAAGCTCGACCGCAGAATTTCATGGCTTCGGCCGACTCAATTCAAGGTTATTCCTCCAAGGGGGGGAAAAGGAATAAATACTGAATCCCCCAGGAGAGGGCACGGGCGAGGGGGGATGGAAAGCGCGCGGCGACGATTTGCGTCCTCCGGGCAGCGCACGGTGACGCAGTCGCGTCAAACATATCAATTAAACGGCTGTTGCAATGACTTGGAACAGAGGTTTTTCAGAGGGGCTGACAACCAGGTTGCCGGGGTTGCCGCCTTTCCTCCGGCACATCCGACGCCGATGCGTGCTCTCCGGGGACGCGCTTGCCAGATCGGACACGAAATGCGTTGTCGAGCGGGGGAGAGAGCTCGTTTTCGGAGCGGTCCGGCACTCGCGCTCGGGAGCGCGCGGGGGGCCCAATCGGGGTTACAAGAGCGGGCTCATACCCACGCACATAAATACGCTCGCACACTTACACACATAAGCGCGCGCGCCGCTAATGAGCTTGAGCGGAACGGAGACCGCGGCTCGAGTCCCGAACCTAGAACTTGATCTATTTATCTGGTCTGATGACTTTCCTTCAAGTTTGTCCGGTGCTTCGTCGCTTTACCTGCATCGAGCCAGCCTGGCTTTGACCCAACGGGTCGCCACCATCTTCGCGCCGCTTTCCCGGGAATTCGACTCCTCCGCCGTTGATCCGAGCAGCGGGCCGATTACTGAAATTGACAGACAAAGCTATAGACAAAGAAAAGAAAAATGATATGGTGGGATCCTATTGGTGGAAGCGGATGGCTTCAATGGACAAAGAAGATGAGTAATAGACTAACTAATGGCAGCCGACAAGAGACCCGACAGTTAGTCCATCATTTTCCCTCTCAGTCTATCAGAACCACCAGTTGCAACCAATGGGATCGTTTTATACTTCTATGTCTTCTTTGTCTATCGCTTTGTCTATCAATTTCAATAATCAGTCCGCAGAAACGTCCCCAACCATGGACGGGACGGACTTCACCCTCCCCCCACCCAGAAATCAACTTGGCTCTTCCCGCCAAGTGTGAGGGATTTCCCTAACAGGGTGTCTACTAGAACAGGCTGGCCAAAAATCAGTGCTTTTTCAGAACATTCCCGAGAAATTCAGTACCTCCTCAACAGAAAAATTGAATACTTTTTCAGTATCTAAATTTGACGAAATTCGGAAAATTTCAAAATTTTGAATTCCTTGCTTTGAGCGAGAAAAATGGAAAAATTCCGGACCTTCTTTCTGAAATTCCGCAATTTTTCAGTACTTCCGGACTGCCCTTAAAAACGTTGTTAAAAAAGCAGTACTTTTTCCGGACTTTCCGGAAATTCCGGTCTTGTAGACACCCTACTAACTAACTGCGTGGCATATCTTCCATCTTTGAAATAGTAATTCCATTCATTTTCTGTGGGAACAGCTCCGATTGAACAGGAAATGGCTCATTTTTTTAAAATTTACTCGAAGAAGCTCCCTGACCCCTTGGAAGCTGGAGGAATCCTCCGAACCCTTCCTTGGAACTGGGAGACTTCTTTGGGCTCTGGAGGAGCCATCCTGGACTTCCGTTAAGTTGGTAGTGACGCCATGTTGATGCGACTATTCGTGTTCCGCGGATGTGCGTGTTGCATGTTCGAAAATTGAAGGCACTCCTGCTTTTCTCACCTCTTCAGAGACACTAGGGTTGCGATAGATTCCTAGACATGGAAAGAAGTTGCTAATTTCCAATTTTTGAAATAAGTTCTAAACCATCTTTGATGTATATTTTTGCCGAGCATCGCCCTTCTTTGTTGGTTTCACTTATCTCTCCTTCGAAAATGCAAATTTCTATTGCTCGGATTATTTACCAGAATCCCGAGAAACTCTTTTAATTTTCAGAAAAAACTACCCTTTCGGGCCGCAAGTGATCTATGTTTCCGGGTTCATTTCAGTGGCGTGGCGCGCTTTGCGATATATTGATAGATCTTCTATTCAAACCTATACAAAGGATCGATAGACAGGATGTCCGCAGCGAACACCTTAATAATCGATTCTTTACCATAGCTTCAGACGGGGAAATATCGATAGTAATCGATCATTCGCCGCTGGTTCATTCGCTTCTGATTCAGGCACGCTTAACCGGGCGGAAAATCATTGCACCGGGTCGCGTGGGCAACTCCGCGTCGTGGGCTTCCTGTGGAACCGTGGCTTCACCGTTCCACGATCGCGACAATTTAGTCTTGATTCCGATCGTGTAAACACGGCCTAGAGCAAGGATGAAGACGACGACAAACTAGCGCGTAATATCGGCTCATCGCCTCGTCGACGCGGTTATTACGATGTTACGATATTAAGCCCCTCCGCCCGCGGGTTATAGCGGGCGGGGAGAACGCGGGGGCACCGGGTAGCGCGCATTATTTGCGTTCGGCGTTGAAGCGGCGCAGGTAGCGCTCACCGCATCGCTACCGTTTTGCGTCGATTAATTTCGAGAGGGGTTGCCGCCTCCGCTTAAACCAACGCCAACATTCCGTTGGGCCCCTTCCTGGAAACGTGGTGCGTACGTGTCTATCTCGACGCGCAGGAGATGTTGAATTGTCGAAATTAACGCACGCAAGATTCGGAGTCCCAGAGCATGATTTCCAATGATTTCAGTGATACATTAAAGTCTATACTGCCGTGCTAAGGAAGGACGCGTATGAACCATCAGACGTTGCCACGTTTCCTTCAATATAAACCTGATTTACAGGGAAAATCGAGAATTTTTTTCTTCAATTTTTTCAGGCTTCTTGTTCGCAATTTGGTCCAAAATTTCTGAAAATTTCAAGGAAGAATACGCATAATCGTTCCCCAAAATACATGTGTTATCCGGGGCAATTCGGCAACTCTCGAATGTTCATACGGTGTTCTTCCTTGGCACGGCAGTATAGGAGGATACGACTGTCGCAACTCGCGGAGGCCGAACCCGTTCTGATGAGGACTAGAGTCCCTTTATACTGAGAGTCAAGACAACACCCCTCATGGAGTCACAAACGGGAATAAAGATTACAGAAATTGAACGTTTTCCGTAATCTTTGATCGGCTCATTCTTAAATTTCTCTCTCCGTTCCTTCTTTCATTCCGTTTGTTCCTCGTCGAACCCGAAATTCCTCGGTCCATTCCAGATTATAATCTTTGCAATTGGTGAAAATGTAATCTTTATTCCCGTTTGTGACACTGCGAAGGCCTAAAATCCGGTTAACCAATCAGAAATGGATTCGCATTGTCTTGACTCTCAGTATAAAGGGACTCTAATGAGGACGAACGACTGGACGCGTTTT